ATTCAACATAAAGTGAATCAGTTAAAGGAACTTATACAGAGGATAGATGGTAAAGAATTGCGTTAAATAGTATTCTGTATCCTCGTGTCAAAAGGTCCATAAAAATTAAAGTTTAAGTGAGATTTGACCACAGAAGTTATAATTAAGAGTTCTAATGACATTCATGTAAATATTGCAATAGCTTTACCTCATTGCCCCCATATGCCTACTTGGATGATGCATATGATTAGGCATAGAATTTTACAAATAAACAATTTCATTCTGAATTAACAATATTTCAGGCCCTCTGCATCGACATCTCCAACATCATGGAGTTGATTACCTCCAGTTTTCATTTCGATGGATGAACAATTTGTTAACTCGTGAACTGCCTCTACATTGCACCATCCGTCTGTGGGATACTTACCTGGCAGAATCAGATGGGTTTGCTTCATTTCAGCTCTATGTATGTGCGGCCTTTCTTCTGCACTGGCGAAGGGAACTGCTAATGGAAAAAGACTTTCAGGTAATTATCCCTGTAAGGAAAAAATGTTTTTTGATTTACATGTTTTCACAATTACTGCATAAATCAGAATAAACTGTACTACAAAAATCCCAGTTTTATTTTAAGATTGCTTCATGTGAGAAGTATGTTGCTTTATACTTAGAATTCATATTAAACACTGTATTTAGTATCATCATATGTTTTTATAACTGTCTTCTTAGGGTCTCATGTTGATGCTACAGAATCTGCCAACTCAAAATTGGAGCGACTCTGAAATTGGTATGCTGGTCGCCGAAGCATATCGTTTGAAATTCACATTTGCCGACGCTCCAAATCACTTACAGAGTGGAGAGAGATGACCGGGTCTACCTTTTGAAGAATGATCAAAGACTTCTCTCTTAATTGCATGAACAGAAAAGTTGTGTTCCATGAGAACGTGTGAAGATATTACTGGATTTCACATGACACAACTTTTGCATATGTATTGTAGATTGTTCTAGCCACAAACTGTGTGCTGAGTAGAATGTGCATAACATTATAATACAGTACAGATAAATTGTTAACCTTCTAAAGGTGCTGCATTATGTATTGTCGTGGATTGATACCATTAAATTTTGCTCGTTATATACGTAAAAGCTTACAGAACTGACGAGTGAACTCATATGTATCTGACTTATGTTTATGAAGTTAATTCTGAACTCAGAAACAAAATGTGCATTTCCTTCATACAAAACACGCAGTAATTTGAATAAATAAATGGAATAATTGATCCAGGCATTAAGGATCATTGCACATAATACAGTGATACTGATTTTAAAATAGGTATATTCAAAATGAAGATGTGCTTCATTGTTTGATTATTCGTAATGTTTTTCACAACACAGTAGCTGGAGTGGGTCAATACAGTTAATATTCATTGCATAAGCATTAATTTTCATGCATAATGCAGTGCACCATAGTGGAACATAAAATAATGTATGAAGACAATCCCTCTTAACTGGCCCAAACTGAAGTGATGTTTACACGGTTAATTTTTTTTACTAAGCTTGATTTTAGAAAACAGACCATTTAGTTTACGAATAAAGAAATAAAGCTTTTATTACAGTGAATAACAGATTATTTTGCACAAAATAATGGATTTAATCTTCCATCTGCTGCATTCCCCCTACAGTTGCTCCAGGTGAATAATAAAATACATTAGTATCACCAAATAATCCATGACATTTTCTATCCTGAACTTACCATTTGTAATCATTTCTTATTTGGTACTAAATATTGTCAAGTTGATATAGAGTTAAACAGAGGAACAAAAATAGATCTTATAATTTTGTGATATACTTAAAGTAAAATGCTAATTTTAAGTCAATTTCAATGATAAATTTAGGAGTTAGAGATGTAAAGTCTATATATTCTTATACCATAAAAAAATGAACATGTGAAAAGGAATTGTGCATCTTTCCAACATTTGTATGGTAACCATCTGAGATTATCTTTTCCAGTTTTATGGAAACTGTTACAGCTACATGACTGAAAAATTTCAGAATGATAAAGCAAAATTACCTTTTATGAACATAAAATATTTACCGTACTATCAGCATTTTGGTGGTATCCACTTTTGTATATTGGATGTTGCAAGTTGGTACAATGAAGTCATCTTAATTTTCATAAAAATTTATGTTTCTCATAAAGGTTTCCATGTTTAAGAATGTAATTCCTCTTGTTAACATGGTGATTATGAAAAACAATAAAGGCACTTTTTTTGGATTTTTTACCTTTCTAGAATCTTCTCCTTTTTTCAATAAGTCTACCACATTTGGTGCAAATTTGTGCATGAATTCTTAAAATATAAGCAAACATACATACCTGAAATTTCAATTTTTTATAGATATGTAATAATCTTTCCAATGTTTGTATGTTTCATTTCATCCAACAAAATAAAAATAGTTGGTTTCTAATTCCTTTTGGCCATTTGGGAACATAACCCCAAATTATAATAATGCACTAATGGGAAATAATGACAATTATAAAATTACAAGACATCACCTTACTCCAACTTGTAATGATTGACAACTGTTCATGAAACACATACCAATTATCCAGATGAGCTACACAAAGTTTTAACCACCCATAATACTGAAGTCTTTCCTCTGACAGGTTCCCTAAATTTGTGCATTATAAGGATAAAACTTCAGAATCACCATAGCATTTTTTACACTCAACTCTGATGAGCAAGTTATCTCAGTCATTTGGGTGGATACTAACAGACATTCATGGAAATTTCCCAAATTTGTCACCCAAAAACTGAAGGTTCCACAGAATGCCTTTAACCATTTAAGAGTAATTGGGTATGTTTAATTTTATCCCACCATTTGTTTGCAGAAAGAGTGGAAAAACAAAAAGTACCCAAAACTGCAGATTCATGTAGCAAATTTGTTTGATAATACTTTCACTATCATAATTAAATCTTCTGTACTTATGCAATTAAATACATATGTAAATGTAAAGCCAGTTAAGAGGTGTCCACCACTATAATTTTTCTATAATTTATGGACAATGATTTGTGGTCTGCTCTTAATGTTTGTGAGAAGTATCAGTTCATAAAGAACTGAATTATCATACCATTGTAAAATAAGTCGGAAGTAAATTGTATACTGTAAAATATATAGAAAGAAAGTATTTTTAAAAACAGCTTCAAACTCACCATCAATTCACAATCTTTGTTTTCTGAACACAAAGTTTATCATTTCAATTACTATCAATTTACTGTGTAAAACAGAATTACTGAACACATTTAAAATTACCTCACACTAAAATCCTCATTTAATGTTGTTATGAAACCCTATTCCCACTGACTTTCCTTTTATAAAAAATAACACAATTACTACTAATACATGTTAATGCATTTGTATATAAACTCTGAAATTACACAGTCCAACACAAAGTAAATATTATATAAAATCATCAGAAACATTTTTAGAATAAAGTATGGAGACAATCACATTGCAATAGAAGCGACTATTATACAGTCACTAAAAATATAACAAATATGCTACTTTACACATTAATTAATTGGACTCATCTAACACATATTTTTAAAGACTACTAGAATTTTATATAGCAGGGATTCAATTCCCAACAGGAATATTGGAATCTCTCTTTACCCTTTCATTCAGAATACAGCTGGGTGTCCATCGAACTGGAAGATGTGCATGTGATCATTCAGCTCCCTCAAGTGCCAAGTTTAAAAGTTTGCTGCTTTATCGCTATGTTCCCTGCATGCCTTTGTAACATCCTGCTTACACACTGGGAGTAAGTGTTCCCAGCAACATACCAGGATTTCATTTAATTGTCACTCAATACATTTTGAAATGATTTATTACAAAATGAAAGACAGCTGGAACCACAGTAAGGTCATCAACATGCTTCTGCAGAAAATGTTTAACTATGAAAACTTGTAAAACAAAAATATTTTTGTGAAGCCAAAAATCCAATGTTATAAAAAAATATTTTCTGTTCTAAATAAAGTAAACTTCCAAGTTTAAAGTGACGGCAAAACCTCCGAAACTCAAAAAACAATTATAAAAGGATAATGGACCAAAGCAATCAGGTAACTCAAAAGTTCCAATTCTACAGAGCAATAATGTTTCTCAGTAAAGGTCTATGTTGTTGCAATTTGATAAATCATAATTTTCAGACCAAGTCAAGATTAAAGTTAACAAATCTAAAAATGTAACTGAAGTGAAAACATGTACATAAATAAGAAATTACTTTCAAGTCACAATGCACATACTTCCATACAACCCAAATATTCATGAGTAATCAGAGATTTTAAACAAATACAATTAGTATTCGTGTTGAGAATATCACACTTACGAAACACAGTGGTTACAAACTTTAAGCAGTATTTACACTGAAGCAACAAGCAACAGTTGATACATAATACATGCTGCTTATAGAAACAACACGCAGAGCAATTTGAATCTTTCACATCGGAACAGCAGAGTCACTTTTTAAATTATCAACAGTAGGTAATGTATGTCAAAAGCAACTTTTCTGCTACATAAATGAATGATACATATCACCTATCAGTACGGAGGGGGTAATTTGTAGTGTCTCACTGCATCATCTACGGAACCATCTAGTGCGCAGCACATCATAGTATTTAGTAATAAAGTTACCGAAGAACAGTGAATTATTTATTAAATTGGTACAAATTATAGCAAATGTGGTAAGCAGTGATCACTTCATTCACAAACATTTAAAAAAATATATAAATTTTATTGCTCTGGTGTGATATCACATACCACGCGTTGCTTATTGCTCCTGCCGAACATACCACGAGATGGGGAGGTGGTAGGATGAGAAGATATTCCAATAAACTTACCACCAGAAAGAAATCAAGACTGTTCAAGTAAAATACAATATCCTGTAAATGTATAGAAAGAAGTAGCACACATACACCATGAAAACAAAATATACAAATATTATCACAAAAAGTTCTAATAAAATAAAAGCGAACTTCACAAGCTTCTATGTACATTAAATCTTTATACACTGAAACTGAAAGTTCAGACAGAATACCTAGTTATAATTCATTTATTCTTTTTCAGTCCCACAGCATATTTAAAAAATCTTATAGGAATTTATTCCTCCACAAAATAGGACAGATGGCATTGCAAACCGTAATGACACATCAGCAAGTGATAACGTTCTTTTAAAAAAACCGGTGACCCCGTGACAATCGGACACAGCGTGTTATGCAATTTACACATAAATAGCCCACTTCCCAAAAGGGTAAGAAAAAGTACTATTAATGCTATGAAAACTCAGCAGACAGTGAAATGTCATTAAAAAAATTTTTTAGTGGACCTCAAAAATATACCTGCTAAAGACTGAAATTAAAATTTATGAAAAATTAAAAACTTCAAACCACATAACAATGATTGTATTTACGACGACAATAAAGAAGTTCATGTCTTAACTGGGGTTGTGGCAATTTAATTTTTTTGCTTAGAAGTAGTAATTAGGGACGTTTTCAATCCCAATCATTAAAAACAGAATTAAGAAAGATTTCTGGGCTAACCTGAAGATATTCCATGGCCATGTGCTCAGTCCCTGCAAATACCAACAAAGTAATTTGAAGAAGCCCACAAGTTCTTCCTCAGCATCTCTACTCATTTCTATTTTTGTCATTCATAATCAACCATCTTAATGGGACCAACAAAACCAGGGCAAAACTATAAAATCGAAAAAAGAATATGTAAACACTGAAACTTTCTAATGATTAAACAGAACAAGTAAATTCAACAAGACAGTTTCTTTCAAGTCAACATGATTAAGATGTATTGTCTGCTAGTATACACTTTTTTGACTCAACGCATCATACTTAACCAACCGTACGGTGAACAAATTTTACTTTTTTCATTAAAAATATGGGATCATCTTATACTACGAATGAAGAAACATGTATAAGAAAAAGCAATTATGGAGAAATACACACGCGGTAACTGTGAAATAAACAAAAACTCGTATACCCATACAGTCCTATACTTACATGAAAATATTCCGAAGCATTAAAAGGTGGTCGAGTGGTAGTTTTGTCTGCCACTGCACCCAAGTTTCATACATTCAAACCCAGCCAAGGTAAATGGATTTTTAAGGGTAATAAAAATCTGTAGCACAACTTCCTTCGGAGGGCAAGTAAAGCCGTCAGTCCCATGTCGTAGATTTACGGCATGTAAAAGATCCTTACGAACATAAGAAAGATGAAAACCTCAAATCCTACATAAAAAAAGATGATTGGTAAGCAAAATTCAGAAGTCACGTTTCTCAGACATCTCTCTCCTGTTTCACTACCAGATGACTCTGGCAGTCGAATCAGGATGAAATATATAAATTGTGCACAGGCAGCAGGCTGGCCACCTACTACTCTAAAGCACTAAAGATGCTAAAATATGAAAAGCTGACCTGATTAACTGTCGTCACAACAGGCTTTAGCCTCATCTATGAAGTGAAAAAGAAGCAATAATCATTCAATTTTGCTTACTGTTACTGCCATACTTAAGCATGATATTTATCCAGTGTTATATTTTTGGAACCACTCAAATGCAGCTGTTTACCTTTCTTTTGCGGTACATTTTGTCTGTCACGAGCCACCCTCCCATGCTCAACAGTGTAGTTGGCCTTGCATAAGGTATCGTTGTGAAAATATGGAAAGAACATATGTTTATGCCAGGTAAATATACCTGTGATGGGGGGTGTCATCTTAAATCCAGTCATCTTACAGTTGGGTATATCTGCCATACCATATTAGTTTTAAAACCCAAAATTTAAAACATAATCAATAACAAGAGCATAACAACCAACTATGTAATGCTTCAATCGAGGAATTCACTTCAGTCAATGGCTGGCTGCAGCTGTCTTTCGCCTGTTTTCCAGGTACTGTCCCAAAAGCACTGCCGGAATCCGGTATACTTCAAAAGGATTGGAGACTTTCACCAGGCGAACATTTTCATTTGCAGAATCAAAACCTATTAGAAATAAAAAGTGTGATGTAAACACAATCATAAATGTTTACATCATGAATGTGTCACACACATGCAACATGAAAATGACATTCTGCTATACACGTCTCATGAATCTGAATAAGATGAAAGGCGTGGAGGAGGAAAGGTAAGAATATATAATATTCAACCATATCCCTGATTGCGCTGCTCTTTGTAGGTTACAGTTGGATGCATTCCTCTCTTTAGACACAAAGCAAAAAGCAAATTTTCCCCACATCTGCATTGCACAATTCACGCAACCAAAACAAATTTTCCTCCACTCCCATCCAAATCCGTGACAAATATAAAATACACAAATCACTACTCCTACACTTAAAACACTTGATGTATCCTGACAGAAGAATGTATTTCTGCATTACCAATATTCATCGGTCCAAAAACAGCTTTCTCAGTTTGTTACGACAAAGAAAACATCTAAGGACTTACTGTGTGAAATAAGACAGTGGTACTGGGATACAGCGTGTAACAGCAGTCTCTCATAACTAGACAACGATGATGAAGTGTAAATACCGCACGGCATTTTTGAAAAGAAGTCCACCACTTGATTTTCTAAAAACTCCAGCATACCCTAAAAATGAAAGGCATTTTTAATATCAATGCATGTAATTATATAAAACATTACTCTCCAAGATTATATCACATAATAATGTATGTGGAACCTTTAACAAACTTCATGGAGCAGAGTACTTCCACGGAAGCCAATTCCTCCTTTTATGAAACAGAAAGTTTCTTTGTTGTGTTCACAAGAGCTGACCACTGGATCTTATCCTGTTCACACCTGCACATCATCCTATTTAAATTATATTCACTCATTCTCTGGCTTTATTTGTCAGATTTCAAATGTTTTTCTGAACCACATCACATACAATAAAACATTCCATTGGATGCTGATGTCTCAAGGTAATGAATAATACTGATTAACAAGAATTAACAAAAACAGGAGGCATACATGTCCTTTAACAACAACCTCTCCCTTGTGTCATAAAATGTAGTAAAATTGTTACATATTTTCAGTTTCACTTCCATTCGATTAATCACGAATGAAAGTTAAATACCGCTAATTACTCACGAGACACCTTTGACTTTGGCAGTATGAACCCATGCTGAAGTAAACCTGTGGCTAAAAACCAATGTATTCAAGTTGAGAAAACACCGTCTGGTTGAGTTATATGTGCAAGTTACTTCAACTTAATTTTCTAATATTTTTTGTTCTTTATTTGTTCGTAGCATAAACCAAACACTTTATAAATGATCAACAGACACAATAATGGTAAAACGATTCACAATGAAGACGATAAGTCATGTGAATCACCAGTGCAAACAATCAGTGGATTGGAGTCTGATTCTGCCCACATTACCAAGGTCAAAGCTTTTATCCTCGTAACAGACGCTGATTTTGCATGTTTTTGAGAGTCAGTAGCTTGTAGTTTAATGACTGATGGGTTAAACTGAAACATATTTAATTTTCTTCAGTTATTAGCATCTTCATAATTTTTAACTGAAACTAAAATACTGCAGAACAGGTTGGACAACACCATGAACATATCTTACCAGCGGTACACGATTCTTTTTCAGGACATTGCGCAAACCAGTTTTAATGTTCCTGAAAGCTTGATCTCCAGTCACAGGTAAATTGGAAGGAAGATACACCAATCTTTTCCTAGACCGTGAAACAAAACCTTTATTTGAAGTTATCACCAATTGCACTTCTTCACTACTTTGAATGAAGTTGTCCCAGGCCTGAAAATGAAAAACTGGCAATCTTCATCTGCCAAATTTCTGAAATTCAATGTTAAGAGTTCAGTTTACACACATATATAATACTCATATACACAGTATACCAGGAGGTCCCTGCCAAGCTTATATGAATTGTTCCTTCAGTTGATATAAGCCAAAATAATCAAACATACCAGATATTATTTTGACAAACTGACACAAGGAACATTCTGTACAAATCTGACAGGAACATTCTGCTACACCAAATATTCAACAGTTTTAAATTAAAGCTTAGGACACCAGCGTTTCTCTGAGACACTTATTCATAATTCATCATAAAAGATGACCAGTTGATGACGTACCCACTGATCTCAGCTGTATTGATCTATATTACCAGCCATCTCAGTGCAGCTGCAACTACTATGTACTTAATGCCTGCAGGTCTCGCAGAATTCGATAATTTTTTAGGAAAAAGATTCTGACAAATGTTGAATGTATTAAAATTCACAAAAGAGCAGTGTGTTTTATTGATATATATTCCAAGACATTGTACAGAGTTTAAAATGTACAGAAGTATATATTATTAGGTGTTTTAACACTCTACATTTTATGTTATACAGACTCCACCATGTATTAGGGTAGAGATTTCATTCTCTACCCCTGTAACCTATTCCAAAATATATATCATGCAATTATTAAATAAAAAACCAACCTCTAAGGAATCCCTATCCTCCAATAATCTTTGAAAAGCATCATTAGAATTCTGGACTAGATCATAGATTGACACCTCCCCGAGTTCTTCTTCCTCCAATAACGTCATGAGCTGATTCACTGAAAGCACATATACATCCAAACAACAGAATTCACACCCAGCCCACAGTAAAATATTTATTTGTGAAACATTTTCATTACCAAAATCTAAACATTTATTGTTATTTTAATTACTATATGATTAAAAACGTTAAAGTAGTAAAATACTGTGTTATTTTATTTTAAATAACTGCTTCCTAACCATTATCATATCGGCGAGATCTCCTCTTGCCTAAACACTTCCTCTGACTGCAAAATGACACTGGTACAGAGGGTACTCTATTACGAAGGCGTCTATAGGCATGGCTAACTGGGGCTGATTGAGCATCGTCGTGAGATGATCCTGCATGATCATCATCACTCGAGTCAGGAATGCTGCAAAAAAAATCATGCGTGCATATTCCATATGCACAATATGGTATACGTTTTATGTCTACTAGGTGCATTTAGAATGCAAAGAAGTGTATTTTTCGGTGCGCATCACAGCTTTTCAATCTTTTTTATTCTATGAGCTCAATACAAATGTATCGAAAGGGGTGGCTTTGTCTGAAATTTGAAACAACTGATATCCTATGAGAACAGTACACATACTTTTATGAACCGTTGGCTGCAGACTAGAGCCACATAAAGTAATATTTCACATTTCTAGTAAGTGCACCAAATTAAAATCAGAATCAGTGATACAGAAAGGTCTAGCATAACCTGAATACAGAACACAGTAGACGCACCGCCAATTCTAAACCACTGTTACATAAATATGACTGCTTACCCAAGCGATTCCTCTGATGAGGCAAAAATGCCCAGTTTTGCGTCACTCTTTCTAATAACGCCCATTTTCAATAAAAAACATATAAGTAGTTTCCGTTTAGCCTTTATATACCAACAGCTTGATCTTTCTTTCGGTTAGTCTTCCTTGGCATAGATAAAACCAATCGGTCCAAAGTGATCCATGGATCCACTTACATAATCCGTGGCCACATAGTATACCGTTGTGAGGGTGGACCAAATGTAGAAAACATCTTTGTAATGACCAATACAAACAGCTGAGCTATGATTGATTCCGATGAAGGTGGGATTTTGACGCCTAGCGACATCGCTTACGATTTGTGTGTTCGTCGTTCTAATAATAAAAATAACACAAATACGATACCGCTGCGTTAATATGGCGCTAGTGCATTATATTCCTTCTCTTTAAATTAGTTACAACCTAGTGCTTGAACTGCGGTTTCGTCCTCATAGATAGTCTACCCTTCCCTAACATAGACTTAGCAAATTGCGAGAAAATGTAGTTTTCTATGGTCCTCACTGTTATTCAGCACATCCTCATTACACACGTCACTTTAAAATGAAAATTAATGTGAATTATATACAACTGATTTAAAATACATTTTAAATTAGCCTTCGAACTGTTTTCTGTCTGTAGTTCAAAGACTGACCGCTTGATATTCTACGCTCTTGTACGTCACATGATTCGTTCATTGATCACCGTGTAATCTGTAGTTAGTGGAAATTTAGTTTTTAATAAAAAGGAATTGGTCGTATTAGATATATAATGTTGCGAACACGTGTTGCTTATTCGTTTCTCGGAACAGCTTCCACAGCATTAACAATAATTAGTAAGTTACATGGTTGTGTTAAAATTTTCAGGAGTATGTGGGGATACACCTAATTGAAATCTTGTGCTTCCAAGTAAGATTATTTTTCAACATTCAATCCGAGTTGCATTCTTGTTCATCAGCATGAAATTTTTTCCCATTATATTATATTGCAATTATAAAAATATGTTAATTTTCAGCAATTGATCCTTTAATCCTGTAGTCCATAATTCCAGTGTATTGATAGTTCAATATTGCTTCTAAGTTTCCAGTACAGAAAAGTATATCCGTGTGCCTTAGCTTCGAAAATATATATTTATGCATTTATTAGTCAAAGTTATGGTTGTAAATGTATTTGTTCTTGAACCACATTTTCCTTTTATAAATACTGGGATTGATTTTGAAGAATGGACTAAATAGTTGTTGTGTTTGAAACTTGGACTGTATGCATTTCTAGTCCCAGAAAGGCATATAACTAATTTCTAATCTTTGTTCCTTTCTAGTATAAATTAGTTGTAAATGAATTAAAAGAATAATAATTTGTTACAGTTCTATACTATGTCCTCACTGGGAAAGGAGAACGTGTCAGTGTTAGTTGGTGAGTACAGATGTTGACCATAAAATTCAAGTGCACACATTATGTCTGGCTGTACACTGTGTTGGATTATTTGGTGATGGCTAGAGCAAAAATCTAGACTGAGTTACTGATTAAAGTGATATGCAGTATTTATATTACCTATTGTACCAGCAAAGGAATTAAATTCTGTTCAAGAGTGACAGAGGTTCCAGTTTAACTTTGTGGTCTCTGTCCAGACTAGCTCTGAGTTCCACCTTCCCTCCTATCCAGTGGTTACTGGGGCCCTTTTACGGGGGTAAAGTGCGGCTGGGGCATAACGCTGATCACTCACCCCTATCTAGTGCTAAGGTTAAGAATGAGTAGGAGGTATACATCCTCTACCCCCCAAATGCCTACATGATGATCACACTGATAATTGCTTTTCAGGTTTCTGGAAGATACCAGTCCTTATATGTGGGCAACAGTTGGAATTGGACTATCTGTAGCACTTTCTGTAGTTGGTGCTGCTCTGTAAGTTCCACCTTCTTAATGAACTATAAATTGATATGTAGATCCCAATTCATTGTTACTGCTATTAAATTTTCTCATTTTTCAGAGGGATCCACACAACAGGTGTAAGCATTGTTGGTGGAGGTGTGAAGGCACCCCGTATAAAAACAAAAAACTTGATATCTGTTATTTTCTGTGAAGCAGTAGCAATTTATGGTCTAATCACTGCCATCGTTTTATCAGGAATGCTCGAGGTATTGTAAATAATTCTGTTTGTGCCTTATTATATGTAATGAAATGCTTTGTTTCTGCAAATAATACACAATTCATTAGTTGTCTTCTGCCGTATATACTCGCTGACGTGCTAACAAAAACACAGGCAGTGATTTGTAATTTTAACTTGATAATCTGAATTGTTTCTTCTCTTTAGCCATTCACATTTACAACAGCTATGGACAATCCTAAAGTCCGTGGTCAGAACTGGTTGTCTGGTTACTTGATGTTTGGTGCAGGAGTAAGTGTGGGACTTGTGAACCTGTTTTGTGGTATAGCTGTGGGAATTGTAGGTAAGGGAGTATATTTCCAACATGCTTTCTAATTTGCCGAGATTTGTTCAAGTAAATAATGTAACGTCTTTTGTGTGCGTCATTCGTTTCAGGCTCTGGTGCGGCTCTTGCTGATGCAGCTAATTCTGCGTTGTTTGTGAAGATTCTTATTGTAGAAATTTTTGGCAGTGCAATTGGCCTGTTTGGTTTGATCGTTGGAATTTATATGGTAAGAAAACGTCTGAAGAGGTCAGATTTAGCCTTACTATGATTTGAGGTTCTCATTGCAGCAAGAATTAAGATGGCTGTCTTCTGGATTGTAGCTGTATGTAGTCTCAGAGGTGCGTGCTGCCTCCATCATAAGGGTAGTGTGTCAGACCAGGAGACAACCATCTTAAAATTTAGTCTTGTATCTGAAAATAAAGAATTGTTAAACACCAATTCATGCCCAGTCTGTAGCCAGTCACTATACTGACTGAGCCACGCTGACTCATCCACACATAAATATAATCCATAACAAATTCCATTCTATTATATTGTTAATTTATGGTCCAAGTACTAATATATGCATTTGTTTCTTTTTTAGACTTCCCGCGTAAAAATGGGTGACAAGGTTTAAGTTGGCTGAAGGAGAGTAATAATTACAAATTTAATGTATATAATAGTGTATATTTTTAGTCGAGTGCTCGAGCATTGGTTGACTTCTAGTCGGCTTTAGATCTGTGGTGCTGGTGTTATGTTCCAGTGTAGATGGACACTTCAAAGTATTTGTCATATGTAATATTTGAAGCATTGATCAGAATGTTGTATGTACGTAATACCAGAAATCTCTGCGTACATTATACTGATTTGGATCCTTGCTTCATTTGCTCTTTGATTGTAAATAATACGTACAACTTGACATCCGGAGTATTTAAGTGTAAATATAATGTCTATGTGAAGTCAGTGTGCTAATGGAAGTTCCAAAATTGGGAAAATGTGATGGCTTGAAAAGCATTCCTGTTCAGCAATATTGTATGACATTTCTTCCACTTTCGTTATTTGATCTACTTTATAGGATATATTTTCAGTATCTTAACTATTGAAGGGCTCGAATAGTGATCCATGGAAGCAAAAAATTAATATATAGTTTTGCTTTAGTATCGTTTATATTACAGTAGAAATTTTTAAGTAAAATATATGTTCTCTTCTTGCATTTATTCTGTATAATAGTCAGTTTCTCAAGTAACGTAATATAGTAGACCCTCATTATACCGCAGGAGTCAGAGCAGCTTTATTACCTACATTATAAGTGAAAACACTTATCTAATTCTCATGTCCCTCTTTTAGTGGCTATTCTACAAGAAATTCGAGACACATGCCACATTTTATATATTCAGCCAACTGATATTAGTGGACTGTGACTTTAGCCTTTATACCTGCACACTTACACCAAAGTATGTGGCTTTAGAGTTATCCGAATAACATACAGCAGTGAATACTGAGTTGCAGTCATATTTTGTAATAATTTCTGTGAAATAAAACATAACTGTCATGGGGGGACATGATCATACCCACAGTATATCCAATTCATTGGTATAAGAAGGGTCTACTTCTGTATATCTATATAAATGTGCCCTGTAGGAGGGCTGTGTACTTATTGAAATGTATGTCACACAACTTGTATGATAGATGAAAGGTGAACTGGTGTTTTAAATGTGTGTGTGTACGTGTTAATTCCAGTAAGCAGTAACTGGTTCAAAAACACGTCACTTTTTCTGTCATACATGTTACAATGTAAATTTTGTTTGGCCCTCTAAAGACTTTGAGGTACCAAAATGCAGAGTAGTTAATGTGAAGCTGGCTGTGTTCTGGGATGTTGCACCGGGTGGTCTGGTAGGTATTGACTGATGTTTCAGAGGTGCTTAGGCCTCCGCTGCCCTGATGATGGAGACATTAAGCACCTCAGAAATGTTGGTAAATATCTATCAAACCTCATGGCACAACATCATAGAAGACATCTAAACTTGCAGAAAATTAATTTGTTTAGTACATTACTTTTGCATCACCAATTATATTATTTTCTGAATGACATAATGCATTTATTTTTTCTGTTTGTAATGTATTACAGTCTGAACAAATTGCACAATAAATCTAATGAGTTTGTTTGTATTCACTGGGTTTGGAGCAGCTCTAAAATTACTGTACATATTAGTAGGTGTTGTGCTGATGGTAGCACTTCCACTAATATGGCATTATTTATCCTATCAATGGCTTTAAATATTCTGACTCAAAGAGGATGCACAGATTGTTCCAGTAAACAGACCTCTCGGAAAAGGTTTTCCCAAGATTATCAACAGCACATTCCCACATTTCCTCCTTAAAATCAATGAAAATGGAATTCCTGCTCGTCCACTGTTGCCTCCGCCTCTGTCCACGCCACTATTACTGGCTTTATTACCATAAAAATCTTTGGCCATCACAAATGAACCTACCCCAATATTTACCAGGATAGATACATATTTCAGCTAGGAGCAATGGAAACTCTGAATTGCTGGATACCATTTGAACTTTGTTAAAATTACATAAAAAGCTTCACTAATAACCTGTTAAGCAAGGAATTACTGGATGAAAACTTCATGTTCCAATGTCAAATGTTAGACCTTCTCATATGAAAAATGTAAAAATCTGGCTTGATTTGTTTATCATCATTACAGTTAACTAATGAACAGTAAAGAACTATACTGTCTGTTGGCAAGGGGAGTTCGGGAATATTAAAGTTGAAGTTAGAGGAATTATGTTATTGCCTAGAGTGGTACACTGTAGAGGAAATTTATTAAAAACATAAATAAATAATACTTGCCAGTCACAGTCGCTGCACAGGCCTTGATCACTCCGACACTGGGATCATGGGTTTGAATCGTGCTCAAAGCTTGGACATCGTGCCATTCTGTGTAGGTGTGAGTCTTGTAATTACTCATCCAAGGAGTTCTACCCCAAATATCTATAATGATTCATACTTTCACATGCATTTCTGAAATGAAATAGGTCAGACAGCCTAAACCGTAAAGGCTCGTGATGTATATTACTTTTGGACAAATATAATGCAAAAGATACATGGCCAATGATTTAATTGTGTGTCTTCTGTACAAGGAGAAGCATCATTGTTTTAATGAAAACTAAGAAAGAAAAATTGTTCAATGACCATCAATTCTAGAGACAAAATTTGGGGTAAGTCTTCAAAAGACCTATTTGTGTATATTTCTCATATTGCGACAGCATTTATCTTGAAGGAACACAGAACCAAATTTCATTATTGCAGTTTCACTAAACATTTCGAGCAGTTTTGATAAATTTTACCAACTTTACTCCTGACTAACTAAAATAGTAAATGGGTCAATATTAAGGTAACACCCCCCCCCCCCCCCCCCCCAATATTCCAAATAAGCTATTGCAGTTCAAAACTTTTATTTGTATGTCAAATACATTAATTTATTTTACAAAAAAAGAAAAGAGTTGGATGTCATGCTACACTACATTAACTGTGTATGTAAATGTTAAACCATGAAACCAATGGAAGTGGTAAGGTTTATTTTTATTGATATCAAGTGTTAGACATGACATACAATATTATTTCATAATATATAATGAAAGTGTTGTAGTATTGGCAGTATTTCTGTCCCCAGTTCCAATACAGTACCTTGTGTTCCCAAAAAAATAATAATAAAAGAGAACATGGCTGGGAAATTGTAATTGGCAATACCAAGGCTTTATGGGAAATTGGGAGTCGGGGGAAACCATTACAGCTGTAAATTCTCAAACACAAAATATGCAATAACATTTAAAAATAAATTATATATAAAATATTAAAAAGGGTCAAAAATACACGTAAAAGGCATAATATTGGCACTAGAAAAATATTGGATCACCATTACAGGCCTGCCCACACGAATGTGGATCCCTTTACGCAGAAACTGTTATTTCTGTATGTATACAACAGGGGACACATAAAACCTAATACAGCAGTTCCCAAATTGGATACCAATGGAAAACCAGATATGTGAAATCTACAGATTGTGAGGGATTACTGTACTACATCCGTCGTCTCAGCATCGTACGTTATAAGTTGAGGCAAAATAAGTTACATTGTAAAAGTGGAGATACTGGATTCAAAACAGCCCCTGTATAAAATTCTGTTAGTGCGTTTCATAATATATTCAGTTAACTGTAGCACCCTGTCATATAAATAATCTCTACAACACCTTCAATATTATTTTACTTACACGATCCTGAAGAAAAAGTAGGTAATAAAATAATTCATATCTTACTTTTAAACTGAAAATTACCCTGACCATACCAATCGTCTTCATTTCATTGGTTTAAGGACTTTAAGATCTCAAAGATATCATCAAAGGCAATTCTTAAGCAGTCCACGTAGCCAACACCATCTCTTGCAGGAGGGTAGCTGGCGACAACAGCTCCTAAACTTTCATCCCATATGCTGTAGCTGAATAAAGCACACCACAAATTCACATTAAACATACAGAAATAAAATCTACACCAAACTATAAAAAATGTTGTCACTTCTTTCTGAAATAATTATGAACACCATTTTTCCACATCTTTAACTGCTTCCCTGATCATCATGAGATACCTCAGGTTGATAAATTTTGCAAAAAGAAGTATATACATTAACCCAAGATTATTCATGATAATAATTTTTTCTTGTTCCATTATTACTAACCTAAGTTAATAAGTCACATATATTTACATATTTTTATGCAAAATCACCAGATATAAATAATAGAACTTATTATGCTTCTGCAGCAAATGCCGCTGCTAACTGCAGTGTCATTTGTGTGCCATAATTGCAAAGAAGTTAATTTTTACCAATAATGGAAATGGGCCAAAGATAACGACGTGGAATAATCATTACAATTACATAAATAACATTTTGTACAGTATAATAAAGTATTTTTTATCAAAACACCAATAATTTCATTTTATGGATGTATTCCAAACATTAAATAAAAAATAATGATTCCTTTGGATCATATTTTGAGAATTAATTAATCAAGGAAGGGGCACACATCCAATTGAAGATGGAAGCTTCATTACCATGCTCATAATAGGTAATCTCACTCTTTATAACTTTCATGTAATTATAATAATATTTAAATAAAGGCTTACTACATACGCTACACCATATCCATCCTTGACAACAGGCCCAAACCCTCCAGCTCTGACTGAAGGTGACGTAAGTGTGGAAGTGGAAATTATATTGCGATTTATGTTAGTGTACGCTGGATCTCGAAAGATTGCAGGCAACTTTCCTCCATCTTGCTCTGAAAATCTATGAAGTCCAAACAGATGACGATCAAATCCTTGACCTACAAAGTAGAGAAATTATAAAGTGCATTAAGATGTGTCAACACATAATACAGAATTTCTGAAATCTCGTATATGCTGCC